TGGGCATCGGATGGTGGGAGGGGCGGCCGGGCCGTCAGGAGCGAGACCAGCAGGTCCATGGCAGCCTTGGGCATCGGATGGTGGGAGGGGCGGCCGGGCCGTCAGGAGCGAGACCAGCAGGTCCATGGCAGCCTTGGGCATCGGATGGTGGGAGGGGCGGCCGGGCCGTCAGGCCTGGCTGCATTCCCGCGGGGCCGGAGTACAGTCACAAACAACAACTGGACCGGAACGCCGGAATGAAACCGCAGGCAGCCGCGGCGTGGCGGCAAACGGCGGCCATGTCACGGCTGGCGTCGCCGTTTGTAGGCTGCAACGCCCGGCAATCAGTCTCCGCCTCGCATCCGCGATCTTCCGCAGCAGAAGCGCATCTCGCCAGCGATCACGTTCCACGAGTGCGTCCCATTCCAGCTCGGTACGAGGCAAACAATCGACTGCCCCTGTTCATCAGACGAGACAAACGCGAGTCGTTACGGCCTGACAATGACACGCCGCGGCACCGAAAGGCACCACGACCAGCGCGCAGACCGCGTGCGACCGAAATACGAGCTGGAAGCCGAACACACACACAAGTGTCACCCACCTCGACGACCTACCGACACGACCTTAATTCACGTGCGGCGCACCACAGCGGCGCGCTCAACAAGAGCGGCGACGGCGGCGGCGCGGCCCGGGTCGCCTTTCTCCGTCCTTCAGTCGGCTGTGTCAGGGCGGCGAGGCCCGCCTGACCCCGCGCCCAGCCCGGGGCGCCGGCAACAAACCGGTCCACCGGCAGCCGTGCAGCGGCGGGCCAGCTCCACACAGCGGGCACGACCTGGTCGGCCGCGACCCCGATGCAATCACTTCCTCACGCGGCGATACGACGACCAACGAAAAGAATCCGTGCGCACCTTCCTAAGCCAAACCAGCCGCTCTTCAAACGAGCAGCGCCGTCTTTTCCGCCGCAGCGCACAGCCGCCGTGGGAGCCGCCGGCACAGGTGGGTCATGCTCCGCTCGGCCGCACGAGGGCGCCACTGCACCGCCGGCCGGTCGGTACAGCGGACTGGCGGGGGGGGGGGGGGGGGGGGGGCTACGACAGTCCTCCACGGACCGAACTAGTCCTGCATGCACCGCTACCGACCGGGCCTGCACTGCCAGCGCGGCGACCAGCGCCACGCGCCTCAACGCCACCGGCAAATGCACAAGTGTTTGCATTTCCGTTTGCTTTTGTGTTTGCAAGTACTATGAAACCCATTAATAACACTGTGGTGCCAGCCGCTGTATATATACTACGGACAAACGCCGCGATTCGTCGCCGGAAGCGAACAGGATTACTTCTCTCCTCGCGCGCATTAGGACTGCAGCAGCGTTTGTCCGCGGTGTCCTGGAGAATCCGCGGTAGTCGAGAGCGCTCAGATCCGCACGCATGGCCTAGAGCACCATCACGCCAGGCGTTGGTCTGCACCATTACGCCAGGCGATGGTCTGCTCCACACGCCACCGCTGCTCCGGGCCGAGGCGCGGCACACAACTGTCCGAGCGTCACTAGAATCGCGGCTACCTGGAACCGCCTGGATGCCACCCACCCCCTCCCCCACCTCCCAGTGACCCCGAGAACGGCTGATGCAATACCCTTCCCCCACCAGCACCTCCCCCTGGAACCATAAGCCCAGGCAGGTGAGCTCCTCCCGAGGGGGGGGGGGAGGAGAAGGGGAACGGACGGTGCCGCCGCCTGTCGCCAAATCCTTTCCCAGGTCGGCAGCGAGCAGCGGGGGAGGTGGGGGGAGGGGGAGCCCACCTGACAACACGGCCACGTGAGCGGCAGCCGGCCGCCGTCACATGATGATCACGATGCCCGCATATCATTAGCTGCCGTCTGCCAGGACCGGTCGCTCCGGAGCTCCGGAGCGCCGGCACGCCTCGCGAGGCCGCCGGTCCGTCTGTGGGACCGGGGCCAAGCCGAGCCGTCGGCCTCAGACCGGCCGGCACACAGCGCCGGCACGGTGGCGGCGAGACACAGCCGCGCCAGTCCTCAGACCGGCACGGCCGCGGCGGAGACAACAGCGCCTATGCAGATGGACGCCACATCAATGGGAAGTAGCGGCTCCGCTGGCCGGGGACAGAATGGACGAGGGCGGCTCCTGAGTATATTAGCGACATGGCAACGCATCAGAAAAGGCAAGGGATTTTTGTTCATCGGGCGTCCGTGACACATATCCTTCGCACAAGCCGCGGCCGCGGTTAATCCGCGCCCTGAATAGCCAATCACTGCCGAGATTGCCTTGATAGCCTTGAAAGGCTTCGGGAACCATGATGAGTACCACCCGCCGGCGCGCCTGACCCGTTCCGCCAGCCATTTTTCGCTCCGCGAGCCTTTCTGCGCAGTGCGTATGCCTTCGCTGGCGATGTCGTCAGAGTCCGGCCACCGGTGGTCCCGTCACGCCACAGCGACGTCACTGAGCTTCGTCTGCCGCTCCCTTACTCATACCGCGCCGAGGCCGCACCCCGACGACACGGCGGCGCCGTCGATGGGCGAACGTCGACGACGGCGCGCGTCGACCGGGGCCGGGCGGCGGCGGGGGCGGACCGGACCGACAGCCCGCGCGCACCCGGCGCTCCAGCCCCCTTCGTCACCGCCGTGTCGCCGACCGTGCGGGCCCACGATTTGGAAGCGCTCGCGGGCGCGCGGCTCCCTGGCTGACAGCCGTGTTCGAGGTCAGCAGACGGCGCCGACGGCGAGCGGGCTCAGTGTGTGCGGAGTCCGGTATCGGTATCCATCCGCGTCACAGGCCGAGAGGCCGCTGAGACGTCCCAACCCCGTGCGCGGCTATGGAACGTCGTCGTTCACGACAGGCCGCCAACGGCCTCGCTTCACGGGTCTGCCGGACGCAGCAGCCTCTCGCGACGACCCGACGCCGGCACTCGCGGGAGATGACTCACGCAGTGATGCAGGCGGCTCACTTGACCGCTGGAGCGCGCGCTCAGTCATCAGGCGTGTTAGCGACGAGTCGGCGACCCCTGGACGCGTACCCGGGGGTCAGACCCGGGGAGGGGAAGGGGGGGGGGGGGGGGGGAGGCAGACGGCACAGCGAATGTGGTGCGTCAGGCTCTTCCTCAGCATCTGGTCCGGAGGTCACCGGACGCACGCACTGCGACGGGTGCGAGCGCTCTGCCGGACTTGTGCCACGCTATGACGAGTGCTCGCCCCCCTGCCCAGGTGAGGGGCAGGCGATGCTGCCATGCAGCCTCAGCTGCTGAGTGTGTGGTTAAGCCCAGTGCCGCCACCACCACCAAAAAAAAACGACACGTGGTTAGTTGAGGGAGCTTCAGCACGCCGTCTCGCGTGCTTGCAATATCGGCCATCCCAAATGTTCAGTGGAAGCTCCGGGATTTCAGGCAGATAAGTGCAGCTTCTTTGACCACAGGCTGCTTACCAGACACCCACGAAAAAGCCAGATACCAAGTTGTTCACACCACCGCGGCATCTAGTGATAGCTCAAAAGAAAAAAAATCCACAGCCTTCCAAAAGTCCCAAGCTCCCGCCGAGCTAGATCCGGCCCACCAAAGCTCCCATTTGAAGTGTACACGGTGACCTCCGTTTCACAACGTGAGCTCGGAGTCCATCAGAGCTCGCTCTCCTCTGCCCACCAGACCTACAATGTCCGCTGTACGGGAAGCCGACCGGGCAGTCCCACGACAGCCCCGCTCTCCCCTCCCGCAAGAGCCGCCGTCGGAGGCCGGCCCAGACACGCTGATCTCCCCCCCCCCCTCCCCCACAGGAGCCGCCATCAGGCAACGGTCCAGTCAGCTCCGACCTCCCCCCCGCAAAGAGCCGCCGTCGGGCACGGTCCAGACCATCTCTGATCCCCCACCCCCCCCCCCACAGGAGCCGCCATCAGGGCACGGTCCAGGTCAGCTCCGACCTCCCCCCCGCAAGAGCCGCCGTCGGGGCGCGGTCCAGACAGCTCTCTGATCTCCCCCCCCCCTCCCCACAGGAGCCGCCATCAGGGCCGGTCCAGGGTCAGCTCCGACCCTCCCCCCCGCAAGAGCCGCCGTCGGGGCGCGGTCCAGACCAGCTCTGATCTCCCCTCCCCCCCCCCCCCCCTCCCGCGGGGGCCGCCGTCAGGGCACGGTCCAGGCCAATCCTGACCTCCCTCTAGCAGGAGCCACCGTCAGGGCACGGTCCAGGCCAGCTCTGACCTCCCCTCCCCCCGCAGGAGCCACCGTCAGGGCACGGCCCAGCCCAGTTCTGACCTCTGACCTCCCCTCTCGCAGGAGCCGCCGTCGGGGCACGGCCCAGCCCAGCTCTGACCTCCCCTCTCGCAGGAGCTGCCGTCGGGGCACGGTCCAGGCCAGCTCTGACCTCCCCTCCCCCCCGCAGGAGCCACCGTCAAGGCACTGCCCAGCCCAGCTCTGACCTCCCCTCTCGCAGGAGCCGCCATCGGGGCACGGCCCAGGCCAGGTCTAACCTCCCTTCCCGCGGGAGTCGCCGTCAGGGCATGGTCCAGGCCAGTCCTGACCTTCTCTCCCGTCAGGGCCTAAGCTAGCTCTGGCCTCCCTCCCGCAGGAACCGCGGTCAGGGCACGGCCCAGGTAAGCTCTGAACTCCCCTCTCGCAGGAGCTGTCGTCGGGGCACGGCCCAGGTCAGCTCTGAACTCCACTCCCCCCGCAGCGGCCGCCGTCAGGGCACGGTCCAGCCAGCTCTGAACTCCCTCCCCCCGCAGCGGGCCGCCGTCAGGGCACGGCCCAGGTCAGCTCTGAACTCCACTCCCCCCCGCAGCGGCCGCCGTCAGGGCACGGCCCAGGTCAGCTCTGACCTCCCTCCCGCAGGAGCTGCCGTCAGAGTGGCCCAAACCAGCTGTAATCTCCTCTCCCGCAGGATCCGCCGTCGGGACTGCCCAGGCCAGACCGTCCGTCGTGACAGCGGTAGCAAACGCCGCCCGCGTCCCGGTACTCAACACGTCATCCAACGCGCAGACGATACAACGTCGAGAACCTGACTGCGCTCCGGCGGGGCCACTCACCGAAATACGCGAGGGTGGCCTCCACCTGTTCGGGGCTAAGACGCCGCGACTTGTCCTCCTCCTTCAGAGCCGGAAACGGGATGAACCAATCCTCGTTTTCGTAGCCTGGAACGTAAACAAATCGGTGACGAAATCGCGCATGCGCATCAAACGCATCTGCGACATCACCGGGGCCGCCAGATTTCAGGTGCACCAGCCTTCTCAGAATCATCAGAAGCCAGCGGCTCCACCTGAGTTGTACATGGGAGTTTAGGGAAGGCCGTATCACGGCCATGCCGCAGCCAGCTTGCGTTCCGTGTTTCAATGGCCCAGGTGTCCCAAACGAGTTCGCTCCGATCACCTCCGCTTCATCGACACAGCGGCTCCACACGGCTCATCAAAGGCCGCCGAGGACTGAGCCGCCGACACACCGCCCGGTCACGCGGCGCCGGCCCCGGCCTGGAACGTAAACAACCGCCGTCGCCCGGGGCGGTGCCGGACGCCGGCGGTCCTGCCAGCCAGTGACGTCAGGCCACATACTCACACACACACAGAGACAGGCCCCCGGAATTCAGACCTCTAAGCGCTCCACGGGTATGTTCGCCCCGGGAGGCCCCAGCTGGCTGGGCGGGACTCGCCTGTCCCACCCCGGCCGGCGCGACAGGCCCGCGAGCCCCGCGCGCTGCCCTGTCTCGGAGGCCTTTGTCCTTCAGGAGGGGACGGTCGCCAGGTCGCGAGCCGCACTTACCGCGTCGTTCAGGAGTGGGAGGGATGTGGACGGTCCGGAGCGGTCCCAGCCGGCACCCCGTGACAGACCGCACCACACCGAAATGCCCGAGTCAGCAAACCTTAAGTAGCGATCAATGCGACTGATGCTTCCAACTGCGCCGCGTCTGGGCTCCTGGTGGACGGTGCCAACCAGGTGCTGCTGCCACCATCTAGCGAGCGAGCCCTGAACTTGCGCTTACCGAGACCGACGCCGAAGAGCGTTGCGCAGCTTTTGTGATACCTGGGCTGGGTTCCAATTTTTATAGAAATTTAGATAGCAGAAAAATAGAAAAGGCAACAGTTCTGAATTTAGAGGCAATAAACATGGCATGCTGACGCATACATCACATCGTTCAGAGCTAAATGAAATCTGAAAGGAGGAACCGTTTCTAAAGGATTGTTTTTTTCTTCTTCTGAATGTGCATGTTTACTGTGACCACCCCGACGACGAGGAAAGCGGCACCCATTTTCGTTAATGGCATAGGTGTGAACGTCGGATGATCGCTGACGAAGCTAACATTATTGCAAGGAAAGAATGGTATGCGATACGTGGCATATGGATGATTACGGTTTTTTCCTTTAGAAACGTGCCAAACACAAAACAAGTTCTCGGCCTCAGACCATTATCTAATTTGACACGAATGCAAGATCACAAATAACGATTGAAAGGCTAGTTCATAGAGTTAGCAGCTGTCTTCCACCTTGCACAGCATGGAGCGAAATCAACCCTGAAATTTACCTACTTTTTTGGTCGAGCCCCTGTGGAATTGTTTATGGCCTGAGAGATCCAAACTTGAAATTGCGCCAGGTAAACTATGCGGACACATAGTTGAATCGTCTACCGCACAAATAAGCCTCATAAAACACATCCTTCTAAGTGGCATCTAAAAAACCTGCAAACTCGCCAGTTACCACTTAACGTCGTTGCCACAAATACATCTGCCAATTACACCTGCAGCAAATTTCAACTTGAACGCCTTCAAACTGTCCCCCGAACTACCTTAAAGCTGTCCAAGATGTCCACTCTCTTGGAATCGGTTTTCACAACTGGCCTTCAACTCGCCGATGGTCCATTGAGTTTCATTGCATGTACTACCACCAGTTTCATTGCCGTCCCGCGGAACACGGGACTATAGCGCTCCCAGAACCCAAAACCACCAGTCGAAATGTAGCCGCTGCGACCATACAGGAATATCGAGAGAATATTAACTGGTTAAATTTGCTTTTTCAGCATTCCGGCGGGAGCCTCCGCTCGCCGCCGCGGCGCAGCTGAACCAGGTTCCATCGTTACGCACGCTTATGATGACTTACGGCCGGGACGTGCCAAATAACGGAGCTTTTGCCATCGGCCTACGCGTGACGGTGCCGTTTCCGCGGCGCCCTTCCCACGATTAGCTGTGCGCCGTGCAACACGTCTTAAAGACAGGCCTGCACGGATCACCCATCGTCGAGAGGCGCTTATGCGAGCTGCGCGGGCGTGCACCACGTGCAGTGAGTCAGCTGACGTGAGCACTCGGGCGAGGATCTCCCTGAGGTCTACAGACTCGACGCTGTTCTCCATCGCTGCTACAAGCGTCGACACATCACACACGACGCATGAGGTGAATAAATCGAGACAGGACGATTACATTCACTGACACGAACAACAGTCATGGACCCGAACAATAACACGGGCCACGCATGTCCCACCTCGACTGAACGAAATAATCCTAACACGATCAGGTGCTCAGGTGAACGACTAAGCAGCATTATGTGACGGTGTGACGGCTCGACACGAACGCATAATGGTGCCATGGCCACACCTAATATACACCCAACGTCAACCGGCGCAGTGCCAACTGGAGCAGACGTGATGACGTCAGGCGCAGCTGTCGGCGGCGGCCGATGAGCGTTATAAATGAAACGGCCGCGTCGCCCCGCCCACTCGGCATCAAACAGCCTGTGGTGGTCACAGTCATGGCGGCACCCCGGGCCAAGCAGCTGACCACATGGTCCCCGTCCACGTGCGCAGACTGCCAGGCGTGCTTCAGTTTAAGACGTCACAGGTGCGATCCTCTCACACGCGATCAATGCTGTCACCTGCAGTGTCCTTGCAAATCAATGCAGCTCGTCCCATTCAAATCAAATCATTCCAATGCAATCCGTATATATATATATATATATATATATATATATATATATATATATATTCATTCTCCTTTGGCTAAGGGATTAGGTACAAGAATCTTTCGACGCAAGATCGTCGCAATAAAACGGCTCGACTCAGAAGTATAATTTCGCACATTTTTCATTGTAATCGCTTGCGATAACTCTGGACACCAGCCCAACCTGACCACCCTGGCAACTAAATTCATTCATTCTTGGACGGCCAACGTCATTCTTGGCTCAGGTCCTGCGATGTCATCATAGCGGCATGCGAGGAAAAACAAGCTTAACCGATAGCAAAGCGCTCGTTAAACTGGTGAAGGTCAACGGAAACGAAATGGGTGACGAGAGCAAGGCACGCATACTTCAACAGCCTTATCTGCCGCTGCGCGAGTAGCCTTTGTACCTAGCTATCTGACACGCTTACAGGGCTGCCTCAAATCGCAGCAAGGTAGATCGATACTGGCATCATTTTCGACCCTGAATCGCACCAACCAGGCGGCCCAGTCCGGTGGCCCTATGCATCGACATGCCAACTGATCAGCCAACCCACCCGAGCCGTGTGCGCTGGATTTGACGAATTGCCACATTCATGCCCACATTTATCCGCATGTTGACGAATTGTTCACAAACGAATTTTTCACATTCGAAACATCAGGATACAAGCAAGAGACGAGGGACGAGAGGCGAGAGAGGCGAGAGAGGCGAGAGAGGCGAGAGAGGCGAGAGAGGCGAGAGAGGCGAGAGAGGCGAGAGAGCGAGAGAGGCGAGAGAGCGAGAGAGGCGAGATAGAGAGAGCGAGAGAGGAGATAGAGAGAGAGGCGAGAGAGGCAGAGAGGCGAGAGATAGGCGAGAGAGCGAGAGAGGCGAGAGAGGCGAGATAGAGGAGAAGAGGACGAGAGAGAGAGAGAGAGAGAGAGAGGAGAGAGAGAGAGACGAGAGAGAGAGAGATAGAGAGGAGAGACAGAGAGAGAGATAGAGATGAGATAGGAGAGAGAGATAGAGAGAGAGCATAGAGATAAGAGAGAGATAGATACAGAGAGAGAGATCATACAGATAGAGAGATAGAGCAGAGGAGACGAGATGAGAGAGAGAGAGACAGAGATATGAGAGAGAGAGAGATCAGAGAGAAGAAGAGAGAGAGAAGTAGAGAGTAGAGAGAGAGAGAGAGAGAAGAGAGAGAGAGAGAGAGACGAGAGAGAGAGAGAGGAGATAGCGAGAGAGAGCGACAGAGAAGAGTAGCACAGAGAGATGAGACATTAGAGAGCCATGGCCCATATAGTAGAGAGATTAGAGAGAGACCTCATATATTTCTCTAGATTACTCGAGGAGACCTCAGAGCATGGAGACGTAGAGAAGAGTAGAGAGCGCAGAGAGAGAGATGAGAGAGACAGAAAGAGAGACGAGCATGAGAGAGAGAGACAGAGGAGCGAGAGACAGATATATAAGACTCAGAGAGCCTCCTGCCCGAGAAGGAGAAGAGAGAGAGAGAGAGAGAGAGACGACAGACAGACTGCCACTGTGTGATCACGCCGTCCAATAGCCCAAGACTCCCCGTAATAGGCACCCAGCGGGTGAACATCCATCAGAACAAACGTCATACGAGGAAATGATGTAGACAAGCCCTGATCGCAGTAGCCGTATGAAATGACCGCAGTACTAATGGCCAATCACAGGAGCCGTCAGACGAGATGACCGCACAGCTAAGTTCCAATCACAGTGCCCGGCAGTTCGGCTGGTCGTGCCCCGGCAGCTCATTTCAGAGCTGGGCCATGCCATGGCGGGTGGACCGACCAATTCTGTAATATTTTTAAAAAAAATAATTTTTCCATTATCTGATGCGCTGACTCAAGCCATGCATATGTCATCGCCATTAATGAAACGGACATAGAGTTACACCCCCAGATGTTTGTGATGGTTGCTATTTGGTGCTCGAGGCTTGCTGCGCGATTTTTGGTTTCATCAGAACAATGATATTGCATACTACGTTTACGGCAGTAATCGGCACATTTTTCAGATTTATTTCGAGCCGTTTCAATGAATGACCTTCTGGGATCAGAGCTCACTGGGAGCTGGGATCATTCGGTGGCGACACTTCAACGTGCCGCAATGTACGGCACCGCAACAGGCCATTCGAGTCAGGGGCAAGCAGCCAGCGCCGAAAGCGACCCAAGCCCATCCCCAATACGGCTGGGTAAATGGGAAGGCAGGCGCTCTAACCAACTGGGCGAACTAACATTTGAACTATACTTAAGCATTTAAAAAAGCCACACGGATAAATGCTATCTTTGATGGCTTCTGCATGCCATGACAACAACACAAGCATTAGTTACATGCCATACATTTACAGTGTTGGACTCAAACTGAAACCATAAACCATTTCAAATTTAACGCCCCGCATTTTGATGTCTTGATCAACCTTGACCTTGACCTTGATGATGACCTTGCGTGATCCTGCAGCACATTGCATGAATTTGCATGACACGAAGGTGGTACGAAGTGCTTTTTCGGTGGAATGCACTCCCACTCATCACATCAAATTATCGAGAAAGCCATAAAATCACGCTAGCGAATGTTGTAGCGGGTCGAATACCTGAAACGCCATATCGTGGATGATATTCCAGCGGACAAATAAAAATACAAGCATAAATGCAGCGCCGGGCAGTCAGGCAGGGCCACAACATCAAGAACCGTGACGGAAAATAATGAAGTGCGCAATGGTTTGTTGGCGCATTGCATGCTGAGCGATGCTCTATTTTGAATATTCTTAATTTGCGATGCTCTATTTTGATCATTTCTTTTGTGTATTATTACCAAAAGCAACTATTCACGAGGTGAATACCCAAAGGCCCATAGCCAGAACCTTTTGTTCTTAATTTGCGATGCTTTATTTTGATTATTCCTAATTTTTGTATGATTACCAACAGCAACCATCTACAAACTAAACAGAAAAAAGCCCATAGCCAGAACTTAGCAAGTGTTACTCTGATCAAGCTGAAATCACACAGCTAGATACAGTGAATCAGATAACCCTAATCCCACACTTCAGTTGAATCTGAAGAGATGAACGTGTCAACTTTTGACGTCACTGGTCCATTTATGGTAGAATGCCCCGCCGCCTCAAGCCCGATGAGCCGCACTAAAAGCACCGACTTCATCAGCTTCCAAAGAAGTGGTCATGGTCCAGGTGATGCACCAAAAAAGTCAAAATGTTTCACAAAATACCCCCGCCTGAGAACTCCCCGCTCGGATGACCCAGATCGAAGTCCACCGCGCCCCGCTAATCCCCCATGACCTCGCCCCGTGACACGCGGCCACAAAACCAACGGCACATTCACACACCCGACAGCACAGCAGCGCTCTCCCCATCGCCACCGCCGCGCCGTGCCGCGTGCAAGCACCGGCCAACACCGGGGAGTGCCGCCGGGCACCGGGGCACGCGCCGCGCACGGCCGGGATGCCGGCGCGCGAGAGCCGCCCGACAGAGACGGACGGCGGCCGGCGGCGGCACGCGCCGTTTGCGCCGCGCGGCGGCGGGCTGCCAGCGGTGCACAGACGCAAACAATCCTCGTCGGCGGCGTGGCGCGTGCGGTGCACAGGCTCCGCGTGGCAACAGCCTATATCGGCGCACTTGGTTATGCGACTAGGCCAGGTGTCCACGGCATGACAGGCCATATGGCGTGGAAGAGCTAGTGACTTTCGATACTGTGTACACAGAACACCATCAAAAACAGCTCGGCTGCCAAAAACGACTGGCAGAAGAGCATTTGGGCCTGTTGGAACACACATTAGGAACCATCAAGCTGGCGTTATGATTAACCAGGTCACCATTTATGTCTGTCGTCATGCGATGTCTGAGAGTGACGAATTGTAATGTACTGTAGTGAAGTGTAACAAATTATGCCGATCGTATGACTTATGCCAATGATAGCTTGTTTTACAACGAAGTGATACAATCCAATCAAAGAACACATAAGTAACATTTTGAGGACCATTCACTAGCTCACAATAATGCCGACAATGCCGATGACCCTCCGACATAAAAACAGCGTCAAATGATTACGTGGAACTGTGACAGAAACATGAACATGTTCACAGGGCAGCTAATGTGGTTAAGCGGCTGTTACAACACAAGGCTGGCGGACGGTTCAGTAGCTAATGCCACACTGACCGCACGGGCGTACGGCTTCCGCCGGGGCAGACCACCGGAGGCTCAGTAGCTGACCAGGAGGCACCAACACGTCGTTCAGTGACCAGCGTGACGCGCTGCCGCCCGGCTCAGCGACCGCGGCGACCCACCGCCAGGCGGCGCGCGCGGCGCCGGTCGTGGCCAGCCGGACAGACGGGCTGGTGGGCGGGCGGCACAACGATCTCGCCCGGGCGTACCTTTGAACGTGGTGAGCGTGTCGGCCCTGAGCCGGTAGCGGGGGATCTGCTCCTCTACCAGACTGACGATCTCCACCTCCGGGATGTTCTCAGTGTTGCATAGCTCTGCGATAAAGATGAGGCGCGGTCAGACACGGGCCGCCCCGGGTCTAGAGGAAGGGGAGGGGGGGGGGGGTGTGTGGACTGGCCAGGGCGTCGCCGACACCGACACCGACACCGATACATCGCACGCCAACAAAACTACCGCCCAAACTCCAGCCTCGCCATCATCATAAGCATCATCATCGTCGCTGTGGACAAATCATTCATGTCAGAGCTGTGACACGTGCGCCACGCACCGCTTCGAATGCTGCGCGCGCTCCTGCGACAGACGCCGGGGTGACCCCACGCACGCGCGTGCGTCCGCTCCTGTGGCGTCAGCCCGGGCAAAGTTAGAACACGACCCCGTTACATCAGCTCGAGGACAAAACTGTCCGTGCCTTACTTTGGGGTACGACCCTGTTACATCAGCGCGAGGGCAGATGAGATACGGTCCGGTTGTCGGCGTCCCAAGGGGCCCAGAACTCTGGCTCGCTCGCCACTCAGCGGTGCCATCGGGCACGGTCACCCCCCCCCCCCCCCTCCCTCTCTCTCTTCCCCGGGCGGCAGTCACAGGTCACAACAGTGCCGCCTGGGGCACCTCCGGGGGGTCACAGTTCTGCTGCGAACGGGGAAGCCGGCCGCACCACGGGTCCAGCTCCGGCTTCCGTTCGCCGGCGAGACGCGGGTGGACGGATCCCGTACTGCGCACATCTGACTGGCGTCCCTGTCCAAGTCCCTTCATTTCATTCGGAGCTGTGGATGTTCCTGACTTCGTATGGTGCCTCAAGCGGCATCCCATGCATCGCTGACCTCGTCCCGCGTCTCTTACTCCATGTTGTGTCATTCGCTTCGTCTGATAAGCTTGGCTCCGACCTGCACTCTTCACAAGCATTGACTCCACAGCAGTTGGTCCAGTGCGTTGGCTCCGACCTGCACTCTTCACGGGCCTTTAATCTACTGCATTTAGTCCGGTTTTCGCCTCCATTCACCTCCTCCCTTCCGTTTAATCTCCTCGGTTCCGCCCGGCGCCTCTGACCTTGTCCTCCATCCGCCACGCGTCCCTGACCGTCACGCGCCCGACGGCGGCGCACCCTTGACCGCTCGTGCTGCCACCTGTCGGCCGTCCGCTGCACGCAGCTCGGCGCCGGGGCAAGACGGGGTCGCAGCCGTGGCCGCGGCGCCTCCCAGCGGTCCGCCACGGCAGCCGCCAGCGCCGGTGACCCGCCCCGTACGCCGCCGCCGGCGAGTCGACAACCTGTCAGATCCTCAGGGTCACCGGGTAGCGCCGCGCAGCATTAAACGCTGCCATCAGCGGCCTCGAGGGCGGGCATCGCTGCGGCGCTGTGAAGCTTTAGTGACGACGTCGCTGCGGCACAGCATCTTCGGCGATGATTCGCGGACGGGTAATATCCGTGGAGATGGCAATGTCCATCATAACCCATAACCACTCATTCTGCAATGCATAGGGGGAACATATCTCCCCCCCCCCCTCCCGCTGTCTCCCGATGCTGCCAAGAAGTGTGCTTTCATATTGGCACAGCGGGAGTTCTGCCGAGGCCACTCTCCTGCCAAAATTAGGCGACTCAGCTGTCGTTAAACTCTGAAACCGGTTCATGACTCCTTAAAGGAGCATCAAAACGCGAGCGACTTTGAACTGTCTGAATGAGCCGGTTATTCGCAACACAGCCACGCGAAATATCCCGTCAGGGTAAGCCCTGCCCGAACCCGCACATCAGCCGGGACCAGCAGCCAGAGACAGCACGGATCACCGTCCCTGAACGCAGCCCTCCGTCGACCAGCGGCGACCAGCGACTCGCGGCGTTCGACGAGCCATGGAGCAGGACTCCCGACTCGCGCGGGGCGGCCGATCACGAGGCACGCCACGAGCAGCGGTCAATGGACGGACAGCGAGGCGAGAAACACAGCTGGGGACACGGGACGGTGAGCGGCCGGAGCCGTACAGCGGGAGGTAAGGCGCTTCAAACGGAGCAGCCGGCGAGGTCCCCACGAGACAGCGCGTCAGACCACAGAAAGCGAGAGACCGGCCAGCTCGGAGCTGAGCGGCGCTGGGACCGGACTGAGGACCGCCAGCGCGCGTGCCAGTCCGTGCGGAGCGCCGGCGGCGGCAGCGACCGCGGCTCGACGGTCGATACTCGTCCGTCGCTCGTCACGAAGCTGCCGGCGCATCACCGAGCCCCACCCGCTGAGCTGCACGCGTCGACGGGGGAGGGCGGGGGGGGGGATGGGGTCGACCCGCGCGGTCCCCCACGGCCACACCAAGCTGCCAGCGTCCGCCCTAGCGCCGGGGACGGCGTGGTGCAGTGAGGGTTAACATCGCTGACGCACAGGGCCGGCCAGTGCGAGGGGAGCGCACCGGCTGACTCAGCGGGCTGACAGCACGCTCAGCGTCTGGGGCTCGGTCCGGCCCGGCTCACCAGCGAGGCGGCGGACAGGCGTCTCGGTCACTAGCACACGCCAGCACGCAGCGGTGTCGGCACCACGTGCGGCCAGCCACCGAGAGGCAGCCACAGCGCTGTGGCCGACGGAACACCTCACACCCGGAGCTCGACACAGCGGCGGCTCATCACCGGCAGGGCGACGCAGCGTCCCAGGCGACACACCACCCAGCAGCCACACCTGGGCACGACGGGAGGAGGCGCACCACCGAGGAGACAAGGCCGGGCGCCCCCGACCGCGACCACAGCCTGCACGTCGACCTCACGCGGTGGTAGACACGCCACCGCCGGACCGCCCCACCGACACTGCACCGTCCGCCTACCTGCCGTCGCCATGGCCGCATCGCCCGCCGCCGGGGATATCGGTCCTGAGAGCAGGTCCGGACCGTCACCGGACGTCGCGCGACCGTCGCTCGGTCGCACCACGTGACCCAGCGCCGGCGCGGGGCCCGTGACCGGCCGCCGTCGCGCCCGGGTCACACTGGCCCGCCGGGCCCGCCCCCGGCCGCCCCGGCGGCCGCCCCGGGCGACGACGGCAGCTGGCACTTGGCGGGATATAAACGGATCCGTCACCTGACCGAGGCGACGCGGGCGCCGCCGCGCGGCCGACGGCCGAACTACACCGACGGCCAGCAGCGGCCGATTTGTCACCTGTAAAAGACAGGTCATTCGCCGGTGCTCTACCGAGATGAGCCCGACTGAGTGAGTGGAGCACCGCCGTTTCTCCTGAAGGAGTCCCATGCGCTGGCCGACACACAACCCCATGTGACAAAGCTATTGGGAGTGCGGCTATCGTGATAACACCTGCGTAAACTCGGCAAAAAAAAACAGAGTACCTATGGCGCCACCGCTTTACCACAGGTGACTGCACCCTCATTGCAGCTGTATGCGCCTCGATTATAGCTAACCAGGGCTTTGTGACGGCTCACTACGCCCATGCCACAGCTGACTCAGCTTTCATCATCCGACTACGCGGCTGTCGCACTCACTTCACTTACGTCAAAGTCGCCTGCACCTACGCAACAGCCGCATGCGCCAGGTCGTGAACGGGTGACTGCGCCTTCATCACCATTGACAACAGCAGTACCGCAGCTGACGGCAGCCTCGCCTCAGCCGACCGCGTCACCGGCCTACAGTTTCAACGCAACCGACTACGGTTGGCACCACGGACCGCACGTACAACACGGAAGGCCCCACTCCACGTCACAGCCGGCCGCGTCGACGTCCCAGCTCACTTCCGGCGGCCTCGTGACGTCATGAGCTGCGCCGGGCGCCGCACCGGACCGCCCCGGGCGACGCCGCACCCGGCGCCAGCGAGACCAGATGACCGTCGGGGCCTGCCGACAGCGGGCGCCGCCAGGGCTGGGCCCGCCGGAATCATCATCATTTGTCTCCTTCACCGTGGTTGAGAGGCGGAGGACAAACGGAGACAGATGGAGGGGGCGGAGCTCAAATCTGATGGGCCGGTCAACAGGCTCCTCCGAGGGCTCATCAGTGGGCTACCGGTCGGCTCCGGCATGACAGCGCTGGGTTTCCGTGAAAACACCAAACGTTGCTGCGCCTCACGCCCGCCGGACACCCACCGCCACCACGGCCGCACCGTGTGCCGGCCGGCTGACGGGGAGAAAGCCACAGCCGCAACACTTACCAGATCCGACCAAACACTGAATGCCGCACAGACCTGCCTCGAGCCGGCCGGTCCAGCACCGAACAGATCTACCTCGAGCCGGCCGGTCCAGCACCGCATAGACCTACCTCGAGCCAGCCGGTTCAGCACCAGACCAGCCTCCAGCCACCCGGTATTGCACCTGCGCAAGCCTACCTCAAGCCGGCCGGTCCAGTGCCGCACAACCCTGCCTCGAGCCGGCCGGTCCAGCGCTGCACAACCCTGCCTCGAGCTGGCTGGTCCAGCACCGCGCAGACCTGCTCCGAGCCGGCCGGTCCAATACCGCGCAGACCAGCACGTGAGGTGCGGCGCGCTGACGAGACGGCCGGTGACGCCGCCGCGCTGGCTGGACCGGTACCGCCCTGCTCGTCAGGGAGGAGCACAGCTCGGAGCGCGGCGTCGCACTCCTGCCTTCCCAGTCCGGCCCAGGGCTCTCCCGACCTAGCGCACGAGGACGACCACGAGGACAGCCCGTCGGCCGACCGTCGCCGCCTCCACACGCGCACAATCTGACTCAGCAGAGGAGGAGCGACGCAGGCGGCGGCTCGGAACACCTGCCGGTCAGCTGCGCCCGGCTGCTACGGTGGCGCCACCTGTCGCAACGAGCTTCCGAAGCCCGGCGGCCAGTCCGCCCGCTGGAGGCCGCGTCTGCCCTAGAGCAGCATGGCCCCACCGGCTTCGCCGGCTTCAATGCCTTCCAAGCAGCGCGTGGTTGGTAGCTATGCACGCGTATTTATTGGAGCGATGCTTCGCCGATTGCCTCGTTGTGTAAAAAAAAAAAACACTACCGGAGTACCGCATCGCCAATGAACAGGAATGAATTAGGCTATCTTCCCCTCATGCGTGTCCCGGTGAGGGTTAAATGGACTAGTGCGCCTGCTGCATGAACCTGCCCCCCCCCCCCCCCTCCATCTCATCCATAGCGTCTGCTACACGAACCTGCCCCCCCCCCCCCTCCATCTCATAGCACCTGCTGCATGAATCTGCCCCCGCCCATGTGGACAATGCATAAGGCAGCTTCCGGGTCAGCCGTCCCTGCATATGGCGCCCAAATTTAGAGCTCTTTTAAGGCAACGTCTCTAAGCGCATATGACATTTTTGGTTTGCTATGCCAAGCAAATTGATCTATCCTGCGTGTACATGGTTTGGGGCCACAATACAGAATAAAAATGCTGCTATTACATGATGTTTTGATTTAAATGGTCGCCGTACGTATGACAAGTGGCTGGAAAATCATGTCGCAGCTGATAATGGAAATATTCTCCGCTGGTGTTCCTGTCTGAAAATGTGACATGATCTATGTCCACATCTGAACACGGGAATACGCCCGTATTTGGACATGGATGAATAACATGTCTATTTTGAGGCAAGTTCAACCCGCTCACGCAGAAACAAACGAGGTTGAAAGATAAGAAGCCATTCCATCTTTACTAAAATTAACAGCAATGCACCCTTTGGGCGCATCGAGCGAAGTTTGATGGGATGGGCGCGGTCTACCGTGGTCAGCTGTATATCACATGATGGCTGCCGCCTATGGGACAGTCACACACACACGTGAGGCCTCCTTAGAGCGAGGCCTTCTTACAGCGAGGCCTCCTTACAGTGTAGCCCTTAACAGCGTGGCCTCCTTACAGTGAGGCCTCCTTTACGTGCCGGCAGACAGACCGACACCACCACTCGCATGACTCAAAGCCTCCACGGGACCTGCGACCACCGGTGTCTCGCGTCCCACGCCGTCCACCCGTGGTCTCCACGACCCACGGGCATGCCCTACCGTCCTACATGACAGCGAAGCCGAAGAGATCGTTCGGGAGGCCCGGCCAGCGGGCCCCAGGCCCCAGCTGAGGTCTGGCCAGCTGGCCTCGGACCCCGACCGAGATCCAGCCGGCGTGTCTTGGGCCCCCACTGAGGTCCGGCCAGCGGGCCTCGAGTCCCAACCGAGGCCCGGCCAGTGGGCCTCGGCCCCAACCGAGGTTCGGCCAGCGGGCATAGGGTTCTAACCGAGGTCCGGCCAGCGGGCCTCGGGCCCCAACTGAGGCCTGGCCAGCTGGCCTCGGACCCCAACCGAGGCCCGGCCAGTGGGCCTCGGGTCCTAACCGAGGTCCGGCCAGCGGGCCTTGGGCCCCAACCGAGGTCCGGCCAGCGGGCCTTGGGCCCCAACCGAGGTCTGGCCCTCGATAAAAAACTGGATAAGCAAAACTGGCGGTGGCCGCGGAGCCGGGAGGCCTCTCAGAAATCTCTCAGAATCTCAAAACTGAAATCCCGTCCAATCAAGGGGCGGAGGAGCTGACACCTGAGCTCCTGGCGACCGGTTAACCGACCTGAGGAGGACGAACGAGGCGGAGGCGACGGCTAAACACAACTGGAAAACTGGCTGCGTCACACACATGAACGCACGCACAGACAGAGACACAGGCTGATCGCTATCAGCACTGTCACTCTTACTGCTAACTGTACAGACTATCAGGCACTGCCCATCTGCCCAGAATCCCAAAAGGTGTCTGAAACTGGTTGTCACCCGCACATTGCAAAGCACAAAGACGGATTAGCCACATTTTGCTTTGGCATCATCCTTTGTACCTTCCCAACGCCGATCCCAACCATAGCATTGCATCATCGCAAAAGCAAGAGGTCTTCCCATCTCGAGTCCTCTTATTGCGTCATAAGTTTCGTCGCCTCAGGTAAGTGGCCCATCCATGGTATCTAAGCCAATTTATCAATCGACAAACAAACAGGACCCCAGCCAAGGCACACAAAAGAAAAAGGCACGGTAACAAAGATCGCTGTTCACTTCTTCGGCCTAAAAACAATGTTGAAGCCGATCTTGCGTACAGACCATCGCGTGAAAGAAAACCAGCCCAGGACCTGCTATCCCTTTGTCGAGGTAGGAGATAAAGATATGGGTGACGGCGTATTTTGCTCCGGCCTACTTAACCGACGACCCGGGATCTAAGCGTTATTTGCTGCACCTCATCGCGTCGGCTGTACACACAGGACTTAACCAACATTAGCGAAAGGGAGGGAGGGAGGGGAGGGGGACGCGCTAGAATTTTCTCTGAAACCCAGCCCCAGCGACATCCATAGTACCTGCGCTATGCGAACAAAGTAGCGCCACATACGCTTACAGGCAAAGTTTTGAACGTATCAACGAGCTATCAACGATGACCTTTTCTGACGCCAAATAGCATCGCCTTCGCGAAGCGCATTAATGCCCATTCAGTAATTCGCTACGCTTATCGCCAAATTACTGCAGTTGGACGCCACGTGTCACTGTTCATGACAGTCATTCACATGCGGACCCAAAAGGAGTTTAATTATCACCAGATTGCGGAATTCTATCTCGTCGTGTTGCGGCCAAAAAGGTTACAGCGCCCGGTCCTGGGGGCAGAGGATAAAGAGGCCCCACGAGCACCTGGGCCCCACTCCTCGATGTGTCCAGGACACTCACGGCCCCCTGCCCTTGCCCTGTTCCCCGCAGCGCCGGGTGGGTGCGAGGCCGCCTGGCGTGACCGGCCGCCGCCGCGCCGCCGCTGCGCCCTCACCTGTCAGCGTCTCCGCGTCCCTGGTAGCTGACATCAAGTCATCGATGGCCGGACCGCGTGTCACACGGCCGGCGCGGGGTCATCAGAGGTCACAACACCGCCGCCGCCCGCCTGCAAACAAGGCCCGTCCCGTCAGACTACTGTGTAATCAGCGTTTACGCTGCGCAACTTGCGCAGGTCATTACGCAACTTGCAGATAATCGGATAACTACGTCAGCGCCGGGCGCAGAATCCAGACTCACCGCGACCAAATGCACGGTGAGCACCTCACCCAGCAGCCGCTCCGAAACCTTATACACGGCGTCAAGCCATGACGAACGCAGCGTTTCTTCGGTACCAAACACGGCGCTAACACGCTCCTCCTGGCACCAGCGCTGGCTACCGCACAGCAGCGTCACGGCACAGCAGCGTCACAGCACAGCAGCGTCACAGCACAGCAGCGTCACGGCACACCGGCAGCGGACGCGACGGCGACTACCGCGCCGTGCCCATGCCAGCCCAGTGATAGCTCGGCAGCCCGAGCCTCCGTCACCGCCAGCTGACGACACCGACGCCGATAAGCAGGCCCGAGGGAGCGGGCGCACACAACGCCACATGCCGGCCATGCGGCCGCGCGCGGACGGCTGGTTACGAGCGTTGGGCACGCGGTGGAAATGCCTGGGTTCGATTCTCGTCCCGCATAACTTTCACTGACCACGGCCTCCACAATGCGTAGTCACGCGAACGACACAGCGAGTTCGGAGCGTCGCTCACGATCCCAGCGAACCGTTCGCCAGCCATGGGCGGCGGCCGGGCGAGGGTGGCCTGGCCGACACGCACAGCCTGGCTGAGGGCTCGCAGAAGCGGTCACGTGGGCCGCTAATCAGCCGGATGGCACGGGCGACCGAAATACGCGTCGGCACGCGCGGAACGCCCGAAATGCCGCACGGCCGAAAGACCCACCAGTGCGACGTACAGGCGCGCGTGCCGTGGCCGCGGAGGCTCCCAAAACGGAGAGCAGCTGCTTCCCGAGAACCGCCGCGTGCCGTGTCGCAGCCGAGCAACGGCTGCGGCGAGCCCGGCCGAGGGAATCGGTGCCGCGCCGCAGGAAACGCGGCGATAAACCGGGCCGTCGCACCGCCGCGGCGGCGGGGAGAGACGGTCGCCACGAGAGCGTGCAGCAGCCGGCGTGAGCCTCGGCCGCAGTTGGTGGCGCCGAGACACGAGATCCGACGCCGCCGTCAGCGCACGGAAAACAAGCCCCGGGTTTGTGCACTGCAGCACTCTGCACTCTCTGCGCACGGCCAGTGGCCCGCGCGCGGTCCTGACAGACCGCGGCAAACCCGCACTGGCCAAACACCTACACAGCAACCCGCGGCCCGGAAAACGTAATCCGCCATTCACGAACGTCCCGACCGACAGTCTCGACCACTCCACCTCCCTCACGACCGACGTCCGTCTCGCGTTGTCCGCCACTGGGGGCGGCGCGGCGCCCCGACCTCTGCGCGAGAGGTGTGGCAACACTCCGTCTGGCGGGACTGTGACCCTCGCCGGCCCAACCGAGGTCACCGGTGACTCTGCCGCGCCGCGCACTTTCTCCGCGCACCGCAGCCGTGGTAGTTCGGCGGCGGGTCAGCCTCACTGCAGCCGAGATGGCTCGGCGGCGGGTCAGTCTCATCCCAGCCGAGCTGGCTCGGCGGCGGGTCAGCCTCACTGCAGCCGAGCTGGCTCGGCGGAGGTCAGCCTCATCGCAGCCGAGCTGGCTCGGCGGCGGGTCAGCCTCACAGCAGCCGTGCTGGCCCGGCGGCAGTTCAGCCTCGCGGCGCGGTCGTTCGGCCGCGGCCAGCCGGCGGGCGGCACGTCGCCTCACCGGCGCCGGTGACGCAGGCTGCGCACGTGCCATGGAGGGGGGGGGGAGTGTAGCATGGCTGCCGTTCATACCATGGCGTGCGACTCATAGGGGTGGGGTGCTGGAGGGGGGGGGGGGGTCGCATCATGATGCAGTGGTACGGCGGTGAGGAGGGGCAAGGTGATGCACTGACTACGTGGTATGGTGGTAATGTGGCAGAGTTGAGGTGGTACGGGGTGGTAATGTTGCTGATGATACGCTATTCGAGATAGCACTGCCACATGGCATGAAGGTAAAACGCTGGGTATGTGATGGAGGGGTGGGGCACTGCGTTACCCCGGGCGAGGAACAGCGCCGTCTTCCGAGGAGCAGCCCCCTGCCGCTGTCCTTCCGTCGGCGTGAGCAGACCGCAGTCCCTCCTGAACCACGCTCGCCGCGTCCGACCCGAGGCCGTTTCCGCGCGGCACCTCCCCATCCGGGGGCCCCGCCCCCTCCCCTAAGCGCCGCCCCCGCCGTGGGAGGCCGGTCGACACCTGCAAATGGGTCGCCGCTGCCGGCTGCGACGGATGACGCCCGGCGGCTGGCCGGCGGCCAAGTCGCTCCCGGCCAGCTGTGCGTGCAGGGCCTCGCTCGCGACGACGCCCCTGCAGCGGCGGGCCGGCGGTGAAGGCAGAGGGCCCGGCGGCGCGGTCCCGGCCGGCGCTAACCACGCGTGACCGTGCTACGACGCCGCCCAGGGGAGCTGCGGCGTCGCCATCATGGTGACAACCGGGACGGAGTGGAGTGGATGAGGAACAGAGTGGAGTTAGCGAAAATATGTGGACGTCAACTTCGAGCAGCAGGGCGTGATGAAAAGATAACAGGGAGATAAAGTTTACCGGGAGTTTGTGATTTTAATGACTGACTTGTCCGAACGTTTTGATTGGACGAATTTCTGTATTTAGCGCTCACATCAAGCAGGGCTTGCTGCGTGACCTCTCACCTCACCACCCGACCATGAAATCCCAGTCAGATCAACAGCAGAGCTTAACGTGCCGTAACGCTTTGCGGCAAAAGCTTAACGTGCCAGAGTGCCCATCACGAATTGGTCCCGCCCTCTGACGTCACTAGACCTTTAGCGCGGCCGCTGCCATAGGCCGCAGGTCATCGCAATCAGGAACGAAGGCGAGTGCTGAAAAGCGTTCGGAATCCACCCTGCCGCGGGAGATGTCCGAACGCAGGGCGGGACACCGGGAACTACCGGGACACACTTGACCACCAATGCAGGACAGAAGTGAAATATTACGACACATGGGACTACTTTGCGAGCACACAGGAGTTTTACACAGGTAAGCATGTCGTGGGCACTCACAACTGGAAAGTTTCTCCACGAGAACGGAGACCGACCATGACCGGTTCAATTCATGCAAACTTTCTTGTGGTTTCATGCACGAGTGCCGAGTTTCCCATCAGCAATGATCACCCCAACTCACCAATTCGGTACTGTTAACAGGCCAGTCACGATCAATCTGTGATACAAGCCGTAATAATTCGGCAAAGTATTGATCTTACCTATTCCAGAGTGATCAATATCAACTAGCGGCACCTCTCTTAAGGCAGTGTTTCAGCCAGTAGCGTTGTGGCCGAAAACAAGGAGCAAAAGTGGAAATATTTCATGGAGTCGGGGTTTAGTCCGATTGGGAAATGCTTTTTAAAATAACGCCTCGCACCTTCTCTGAAACAAATAAAACTCTGGCACCTCACCTTTTTTAACTTAACACTCCAAAGACAATTTCGGGCTTACAGGACAGTTAGGACAGTTCGCACGTCTCATCAGCGCCTTCAGCGCCGCCGGCGATCCCGCGGCCCACACTCCCGATTCAACAGCATCAATCAGCTGCCTCCTAAATACTCCACCGGCTAGAGACGCATGGCCGCCCCCTCCCCCCCCCCCCCCCTCTCCCGCCAAGACCAAACGGGGCCACCCACTCTGCGAGGCTCGCATACAAACCGAACGCGACCCCGAGCAGTTTGTTTACTAAGCTGGCAAACCGGCGGATTTAGCCCGTCAGGCCCCCGCGCCACGTGGATCAGCAGTTCAAGAGTGTGAGCTCGAGCTCTTTGGAAGCACGCCGCCATCCCGTGAGGGGGATTACTGCGTAGCACATAGTGTTGTATTGTGGCCGTAGCTTTTAAACCATCACATCATTGGGGGAAGAAAATGGAATTTAATATGAAGATGTGACAGCAAACTATACACCTGAATTTACGTTCAAATCAATTTGGTAAATTAGGAAAAATATCATTACCGGATATAACACACCTATTTGCCTAGTTACGTGAAAGAAAAAAATACAGTATTAACAAGTGAACAGTGTAGAGAAAACGTCACGAAACGGCCGCCATAGATGTGTCATGACGAGAGGCTTTCATAATGACCCTACAACCAGGACAATAAATACATCAGACTGCCACAGGTCGACTCACGCTGCCACACACGCTCACTGCAATATACGCCGCGGCTATCACCAACCGCCAGCCTCATGCCTGCCTGTCCCGCTGACTGCAGCAGAGCACCATGGCGTCCCGTACCCCCAGCCTCACGCCTGCCTGTCACGCCGACCGCCGCAGAGCACCACGGCGTCCCGTACCCCAGTCTCACGCCTGCCTGTCACGCCGACCGCCGAAGAGCACCATGGCGTCCCGTACCCCCAGCCTCACGCCTGCCTGTCACGCCGACCGCCGCAGAGCACCACGGCGTCCCGTACCCCAGTCTCACGCCTGCCTGTCACGCCGACCGCCGAAGAGCACCATGGCGTCCCGTACGGCCAGCCCCACGCCTGCCTGTCACGCTGGCCGCCGCAGAGCACCACGGAGTCCCGTACCCCCAACCTCACGCCTGCCTGTTACGCCGACCGCCGCAGAGCACCACGGCGTCCCGTACCCCCAGCCTCACGCCTGCCTGTCACGCCGACCGCCGCAGAGCAGCACGGCGTCCCGTACCCCCAGCCTCACGCCTGCCTGTCACGCCGACCGCCGCAGAGCAGCACGGCGTCCCGTACCCCCAGCCCCACGCCTGCTTGTCACGCTGACCGCCGCAGAGCACCAGTGCGTCCCACACCGCGAGTCAGTTGCCAGACGTTCACGCCGATCACCACCGAAACCGCCAGAGAGCACCAACCACCGGGGAACACCTCATTCCGCGCAGAGAACTTCATGAAACTAAAACGTAGATACAGCACTTCCCCTTGCGCGGTATGGACGCGCCTACCAAAAGCTACGTGATTTCGCCGATTTCTCCCAATGTCCGCTGTCTTACCCGATCACTGTTCTTCGACAGTACTGGGTGTTTCCAGCCTGCACGCGCACACCTCACACTAGAAATGGCGGACACTATCCGTTTCACTTTATGATACTGACCGGGGCATGCAGGTGACGCCGGCGCCACAGCGGCCCGGCTGCGGCTGCAGCGGCGGGCCGGCGGAGCCGCACCGCTGCCCGCGAGTCCAGCTGGACGTCCTCCAGTCCAGCTGGACCCTCGCGGCATCGATCGTCGGCGCGGCGCGGCGCATCAACACCGACGCCGGCCGCCGCTGCTCGCGAGCGCCGCCGCTCGCCGAGCAGAGCAGACACGCTCGGCCGACGACGACTGGACAGTGGCCCGCGCAGGCCAAGGCCGCTGCATGGTCACTGTTGCGGGGTCGGGGCGCATTCTCCCGTCGCGAGGTGGCGGCTCAGTTCTTGAGGTTCGGGTATTTATCCACTTACGCGGCGTGGTGCACAGACGTGGCAATTTTCCGAGTGCTCTGTTGCTGCGTGTAATCGTTACGTCACTGGTTCTGCAAGCTGTATATTTTCACCGCGCTTGTTTATTCCAGCGGAGATACTGACAAGGGGTGCGCCATGTCATCCCTGGGCTGGCGCACGCTATGCCCTGACCTAACAAGCTCACGATTTCACGCAGGGCGGTCACCAGCGTTGGCGATCAGCACGATAGCCTCGACCCTGCGCACGCCGCGAGCGGCGGCGGCCAGGCCGGCAGACGCGAACCTCACGTAACGCCGCGGGCCATCGAGCGCTCGACCGCACGAGGCGGCACCACCTCGATCCAGCCCCGGCCGCGCATCTCGGCGGAGCGTGCAGCGCGGCAGCCAGGCCGACAGACGCGAACCTTACGTAACGCCGCGGGCCATCGAGCGCTCGGCCGCACGAGGCGGCACCAGCTCGATCCAGCCCCGGCCGCGCATCTCGGCGGAGCGTGCAGCGTTGGTGGCCGGGCCGCTGGGCATGCTCTCCCCGGGACGTAGTCGGCAATGGGTCTTGGACCCAGGACTTTCAAGGCGCGATGCATCGCAACAGGTTCACGAGGGCCCGTCAACAGGGGTCCACGACCTACGACCGGACTGGCGTTGTTGCACCTAGCAAGCAACTATACCGATCACGCCACGTGCTGAGGACTCTTGACAGGTTCCAAGTTGTAATGCATACTCAACCATTGCATTAACTAGCCATTAATGCATCAATCGTGACGAATCTCCTAAATTGTTCACCACCGCTGAGGTCTAACACCATCAGTCGTGGGCAAATTTCCTTTATTCTTCCAAACCGGTAACGTCTGTCCCTCACCTAGCTTTGCGGCCAGCTCCTATGTTACTTGAATAAGAAGCACGCCAAGCAGTCAACAATTCAGTTTCAGAGCATTTTTAAACCCTAGAATAATCCAAAAATTTTGAGCCAGTTGGCAGTGAGCGGGGATCATTCAAGTTTGTTTCGCCCTCCCCCACCGCCGAGACCGAAAGCACGCCTGGCATGGCTCTCCTCGGTACCTGCCAAGGACCGTTTCTGACGAACGGTCCCATCACGCGCCGTTGCATCACTCTTGGCTAGACTTTACTTATAAAGTCCAGGTGTGTTGCTGATGCCTCAGAATTGGACCACGACAACTCGCTCCGACACCGTTCACCTTGAAGGCTCCTTCCCGCATTCTGGGTAAGATAACGGTAAAGTAGCATGCACCGTGCATGCACGGAGCGGCCATGCCACCATGACCATGACAAAACTGCAGACATATTTATAGCGAGCTAGTTTTTTTCTACACCTCGGGTGTGAATAATCGTACTGTGCAGCCGCTTTGCAGGTAGATCATATGTTCATCTGACAAGCACTGAAACTGCTAACGTTGATTCTTCATTAGCTTACTTGGTATAGTATTTGAACATTACTTTGAAAGGTCCAGGGTTCGTGCCCCTGATGACGTTCACCATTCCAGTGTTTGTCAAATCAACAATACCATCTACCTGCAAGGGGCTGCGCAACACGGTCCTTTACCGCCGGAGTATGAAGCCAAACAGCGCACGAGGTATAAAACTCGCGGCTATAAATCCGAACCTGTAGAAACTGCTACAAAAACTGCTGCGTCAAAATCAAACGCCTCGCAACAGACGCCACAAGAACCAGAGCAGAGTGTCGCGTCTTCCCACGTAAGTCATGACTACACTCGCCGTGGCACCAACCTCTGTAATTGTCATATCAGCGCTCTACAAGAACCCCACACGCCGGCGCTGTACCATGAGCGAAGACGTGAGGTGACCCGCTCCAGCCCACGGGCCTTGACGAGGGGCGCTGGCCCGATGTTGGCCATACGCGCAGAAGCCCGACATGCCAGTAGAGCGTAACTCAGGCACAGCGTGGCACAGCGCGTATCAATGCCGTGCCAGAGAATTATACGGCCACGTCCGAGAAGATGCTCCCTTGTTACACTGCAACTGATACATCACACTGCAGGAAGGCGATGAGCGGACTGCTTTGCACAGGCCGCAAGGACCGGGACCGCTTCTTTCCACGTGCACACATATGGACGCAGATCAGCGATTAGTTAAAAATCATTTTGATGAGTCACTGCATCATCCCAATCAGTTTCAAGTCTACTAACATATTTATTTATGGGCCATCCCTGCCACACTTCGCTTTAAGGTACTAAGCCTGTCAATGTTTAAACATTGAAGGCAGGTGTTAAGAGGCTTGGCATTTGTCATGTAAATTATGCCTGGAAGCTGCCATCATCAGTCTATAAATACCAATGTCTGTGCATGGGGGATGGCATCCCAGAATGGGGAATAGGAATGGGCATATAACTGTGTCATACATGCCAATGGGCTTCTGAGAGGATTCCCAAGAATGTGGGGTGTATACTTGCAGTTATGGCCTTGATGCAGGCATATTTTGAAGTTGATCTGGATGTCACAACATGTGCTTAAGGACACTTCTTAGGTCAATGGAAGTTATGAAATTTGATAATCTCCTCTTTTAATCACAGTGTCTTTTGTAATTTTTGCCTGCTTAGAGCCATGCCTAGTCCCCAAGGCAACATTCCAGACCACCCTTAGTCATGATTCAAGCTTAATATGACACATATCTGACTCATTCCTTGGTCTGGGAGAGGGGGGATGCTGGACCAGCCAGTCATCACAACTGTATTCTAGGTATGAATTCCTTATCCATTCAACTGGGTAACCACAAACAACTTAGTGTTGGGTTCAGGGCACACTCACTGCACAAAAATTGCTTAGGAAACACTCAGAACCCAAAGCCAAACATCGAGCAGTTTGATATAAGAACTTTTAAACTGAAACATCCCTTAAACAATCTGAAGAGATCATGCCTAGAAAAATCACTTAAATAATTAAACATATACACAATACACATACATGTACTATTTTGTTACATTTTCATCATGACAGTAATCATTCCAGATGAATATGCAGCTGAGAAGAGTATCAAAGTGACAATGCCTATGAGTTCCCAGAATTGTTTACACATTCACAACTTGCCAGGTTTAACAAATATATTTAGTCAGCCTCCAAAACCCAATCTACTGCACCAGAGAATTTTTCGTCTGAGTTCTGCAGAGCTCAAAACAAGTCATACCGCACTAAAGTTCCAATTGTGCTTGCCTAAAATTGCTTTAGGAACATAAAGTTTACAGGAAAATGGGGTGTAGGTATACATTGCTCCGTAACGTTAGAAAAAATCACTGTACATGATGTCGTGTTTAAGTTTTACGATTAATTATGATATGTTCTGCCTTAAAAATGATGATTGATGTACAATGCTCTTTCTTAACATAAGGTAACAATACATACCCTGACCCCCAATTTGACATATCCTCAAAAAGTTTGCTGGCCACCAATAGGCATTAGACCCTTGGAAAGCAAATATGACAGCTGACACCATTCACCATACTAAACACTGGGTGCAGACGAGGCACTGATGTGCTGAGCCTCACCGCAAGTGCATTGAGTTCCCGCTAGGACAAATCATGCCAAATGTTTACCACGTTTGTTTCATGAAACATGTTTTTGGATGTTTGCCATCGATTGCTTCAAAAAACATGAAACTACCTCAAATATTAACTCTCATGCACTTATGCTACTGCCGACCATCCATTGAACTTAGCGCTGGTATTTGCGACGTGTGTGTGCTTAAATATTTTTACAACTGCGTTGTCATCTTTTTTCGCTGGCACACCAGACACTTTATGCGTAACGTGTACTCGTTTAAGTCTGACCTCACCTTCATGGAACGTAATCCAAGCTGTATCAAAGCTTCCGGTCAATCCTCACCAATCAGATCAAGGCCAGATTAACCCCTTAGCCCAGACTCCCGGCCACGTTCACGATCGAAACCGCGGGCGCCCCACCACTCCCAGATGCTAACCAGACTACAATGCATTACGTGCCAACGGCTGTTTCACGTTAACCCGAAACCATTTTCCTCTAGCAGGTAACAAATATAATGGCTAACCTAGCGGTATATTTAAGTAAAACAGTATACAGCCATTTTTTGTTATTTTTTGCGAGTCATGAAGCAATGCGTTTCTTTGTGTAATAAACTAATATTAAAACTAATAAAAATATTTGATATTTTAAAAATGAAAGGAATGTATTAAATTACATGAACCATGCCGACAGGGAACTTATGGCGCTGCCTCCGTCACAGATGCGTCATTTTCGTTGCACAGCCAGTGCCACAGCAGAAGGGCGGTGGCGTGCAAAAAATGTTCGTAATTTGTAAATGCAAAAGTAAAATGGATGTTGATAAGCAAAGTAGATATAAAGCTTAAAATTATGCTATTTATAATCCTCCAACGCTTAATTCTGTAATTTCTGAGCACCATCGGATGAAATAATATGCGATAAAAAATCAGCAGCTAGCCTTGCGGGATACTCGGGCGCTGCTTGCCGAACGTAAGTTGATGCGGTAATCAACCCCGCTGGCTTTGATGATGAGTTTGGATGTTTGTAACCGTTTTGAGACCCTTTCAGCGTCTCAGGCTGCCGCATGGTCCGGGTAGTGCTCTGTTGCGCTGCTCCTGGTCGTTGCCGTGGTCAACTTGATGTGGTGCTGCCACCATGCGGCCATGAGGACGCACGCAATCACCGCTTGGTGGCAGGCCGGCATTGTTTGTGCTTATGGATGAGGCCGTGGACCGATAACATAGTCGTAAGTCTTACCCCAGGTATTGCTGCTGTCGGAATTACGATGTGCTAGTCAGATCTGGGAGATAAATTTCAACGTCTGGGGCCTACTACTTCCCGAGCACAAGCCCAGGCACGTATTTACCGCAACATGGCACGGATCAAGTTTCAACTCCTGCTTTAGTCACATGTAAAGGCGCAACTTAAGAGGAAGGAGTGTAGGTTTACATGATGTGTAGCAGATGCGAAGTGAAAAGTGACAGCACCTAACCCAAAATAATCAACAAACAGGTTTCTACATGGATTTAACCCACTTTGTAAAGTTTGGTTGCGGACAAATGTATGCATACAAAGTGTGTCTGGCAATTGTTCGTAGGATACGTGTTTACGCTAATGTGCGGCAAATAAAGCACGTGGAATCTAAAGCCCATAATGGCAAAAGTTTGCGGAGGCAACAGTACCATGAAAAATGTTCATCAAGAAAAAGCTCCTAACGGAAGTGTTCGTACCAGTAGTAGGCAGGGGGCGCGAGGGGCACGTCCCCCTCCCCTTGGCTCCTCGGAATCTGCGACCAAGGGCCCGATTTGAGGGCCCAGAAGGGCGGATGGAGCTGGCATTCAGTTTCCCCGGTCTACAGTGCCGAACACGCAAATGCCAGGCAGAGGGTCCCCTGCGTGTTGATTAAGAGCCTCTGAGTTGACAAGGGCCTACCTATATGTTGGTCAGACACCACCAGCAACGCAGAGTCGGCTCGGTGGCAGCATGGGCCTGAGCGTCCACTTTCCAGTCTTCACAAAGCAGGGGTCAGTGATTTACACTGGCCGGGGCCCTTGTATCCGCCAGGGGCCACAGCCTAACAGAGGGCCCTGTGCTTGCAAGGAGCCTCGAGCCGACGACAGGAAGTGTTCGATGAGGCCCGGGCGGCCCACGGGGACCGACGATGAAAAGCCCGGTTAAAGGACATAAGGGCCCGAAGGACTAGCTGTAGATCACCAAAAATCGCGGCACGTAGGGTCGTGACCTAAAATAGCAGTCAGAGGTCCTCTTGCACCGTTGGAGAAACCCTCCATATGATGCGGGTATCTAGGTCAGCCAGAGACCACGAACACCGGACAGTCGGTTCCATGTCCGCCCGAGTCCTTTCGACCCTTTTTCCAAGCAGGAACCAGGCCAGGGACCCCGATTTGTAATGTTCGGGGTCCCTGGCATAATGAGAGGCTTCTGTGTCGATCAGGGGCCACAGTGCCAAACAAGGGTCCCTTGGTGGCCAGTGGCCCCGAGTCAGAGAGGTGATTGATGGCCCAAAAGGTTTCTCGAGACCACAGATCAATGGCCCAACGTGCAATGCTGAACGGTCCGAAAGGAGGACCGTGATCTTGGATGTCAGTAAGAAGACCTCTTGCACGGACTGAAATCCCTGAGACAGAACGTTCCTCTATTTCAGCCAGAGATCACCAACAACAAACAGTCGGCTCCGTTTTGGTCTGAGCCATCGGGCCCATTTCCCCAGCAGGGACAAGGCCGGGCCCGCAATACACGTTGGCCGGGCCTCCTGTACCGTCCCGGGGTCCACAGTGTCCAACAGGATATCCTATGCCAACAAGGTCCTCGAGTCGGTGAGGGGAAGATTTGCTCAACAGGGACGGGGACGGGACTCCAAATGACGGAGGTCTTTTGCGTCGGTCGGGGCCCTCTGACAATGAAAGGAAACATGAGAACTTATGGTGAGTGCTCACAATGAGGCCATGGTAGTGTCCTATGGCGGTAAGAGGCCCCAGTACCGAACGGCGGGCCCTGCAACTCAATTCCAGCATTGGCCCGTTAAGTCAAGTTGGAGTCTATGTGCCAATTATGTGACCTGCGGCGATCAGGAATGTTGTTGCGTCCATGAGGGTTCCTGCCTCGATACGGGGTCAAGTGCGCGGGTCAGAAGGCCTCCCGCGTCAGGGAGCAGATCAATGTGATGTGACGCACCCCCCTAATGGCATCCGGGTCGACTAGGGATCCCACCCCGTGTTGCCAGAATGACAGCCGGAAGGCACACCGCGGTGGGACAGAATGGTCCTTCAATGCCTTACTGGGACCAATAACGTGCCCCGCAGTGTTATTCTCAACGAGACCCTTTCCCGGAAATAAGAGGTCTCATTAGTGCTGAGTAGAGTGGGTCGAAATTATTTCAAAACGCACGAGGCCATCCCATGTTTGCCTGAGAACGTCCCTTTTTGCAGAATCGACTAGTGAAACAAATTACACAAAAAGATTTAAGCCTGCGCATCCGCATTCTCAGGAGCAAGGAAAGCGATAGCCTGAGTTGCAGTTTTTGTGCAACCGAACGGCAACGACGATGGCCGCTCTGCAAGTAACGCCAGGCGGCGGGCGCCGTGCGCGCAGAAACGACCATCGTGAAGTGATGTTTCTAATGTGTTTTAAAATTAATTTGTACAGTTCAAAGATCAAACTGAACATTTTTTAAAAATCTTAGTGAGTAAATCCGGACAGATCGACACTTACAGCAACGCTAAAAATAAGGATTCTGCATTTGCTCCTACAGTTCCACCACCAAATTCCAGCACCACTTCACGCTGTAAAGATCGGCCCATTGGTATCATCAATTTGTAAAGCACACGCGTAAAATATACGCACGAAATATGTTCTTGATGCACATTTTATGTCCTAAAACGTTCAAAGGTAGTTCTTTCAGATGCGTCGTCATTTTGGTCTACCCATTGGCCACGGTCTTGTGTCAACTACAAGGCCGACGCAGCACGTCCTGCGGAGGCTGCAACGCCTGGCGTCGATGTCTTTGTTGCCAAAATGTGCGAGTGCGCATGCTCATAACCACGTTACATGAGTTGTTTAGCGCACCGCACAAGCGCGTGTATAAACAATCTATACCAGGTAGCATTTGGCGTCTGCCTGCCGTATTCCACGGCGGAGCTGGCTCCCGCCGCGTCCGTCAGCTGGCGTCAGTGGCGCGCTCAGGGGGCGTCAGATAACGTCGTCGACAGAGACGTCAGGGTGAGGGATAATAGATAAGCACAACAAAATCGGCGGATGATCGGCACTGGACGTGCTTTTTATCTATTACACCACTAGTCCGCTCCTATTACAGGGTCATCCTGCAAAGCCCCATTGATTCGAGATCATTCCCTGGTCATCTCAGGGCGTAATGTGCGCCTCATGAGGGGTTAGGTTATCATAAAACTTGAAATGGCCTTTGCAACTGTCACTGCCCACCACCATTCCCTTCTCACTCCTCTCCCCAGTCGATTGGATGTGGTGGTCCCCGTAGTGACCATTCATCCGCCGCCTGACATGTCAACAATGAAGATCTGCATTCCAACGTTCAATACACATGTGCCCGCAAAGCTTTGTGTACGTTCTATCGTCTAACGAACTTAATTCCTCGCAAACATTTTCGGGCTAACTTTATGTACTTACATCAGATACCGCAACACGGACCGTTGCTCATGTTCTTTTGCAAAACGAATGTTATCCTTGGCTAAAATTCACGCCCTGACATTTGGGTACAAACCATGACCCACAATTTTTTCATGCAGTTTAAAACGAACCAAGCGTGCAGCCGGAGCCTTGGCAAGGGGGGCACAGGATTGACAAAGAGGCCCCTCATAGTAAAAGGCCACCATCCGAAACCATCGCCGGATACGGCCCGTTTGTTAATGCATGTTTTTCTGTCATCTTTTCATTATTATCTTCTATAATTGGACTTAAACCAAGAAGCTAACACGAGATCAATTCTGCCTGAAGTTTACCCGATAAACTGAAAAAATCGTGCGTTAAATCACTGCATGAAATAAATCGCCGGCGCTTTCATGTAACAGTGATCTAGCGAGCTCCTTTTAAACCAATATGGACTCACAAACTTCGCCAGAATTTGCATATGCTTGTAAAGAAATACGCAGGACCACGCAAATGTAGATTGAAGATAAAAACGTACAAACAATTTGTTTGAACATGACCAAGCCGTGGTTGTCTGGAAATGTTCAACATTTAGTCAAAATTGATTTGTTGTTGTAACTGAAAGTCGTACTCACGAACGCCAGATATAAGCGACTCGAGGGTTATATTCTTTTTACTTTAAACGCCGCATGGCAAATGAGTTGGGAAGACTTGGACGATGTTTCTTTGGCGTCATGCATTCCTGGATGCTCTTGAAATATTTTGCACGAAATAGTCTGAATATTTTCGAGGGTGTGTAGCTCA